GCCTACATAAATATAAAAAAACAATACCTTCATGCCTTCTTCATCTCGGGAGGCTTTTTCAGTTCATTCATAACAATTTGCTTTTGTATAATGTTAGCATTATTAGCAGTATTATTTATTATCTACATATTTATATTTGTTTTATTAAAAACAAGCTTAGATTTGCCCAACTGTCAGGTTTTAGACCATATGGGGCATAGCATGTGTTTTAGGATATAACTCAGTTTTTTGACCACACTTCATTATTATTGTTCATTTTTTCATTTGCTGGAAATTAGAACTGAATTTAGAAATAGTTCTGAAACAAATCTTTGCGCTTAACAAACAAAATTAATAACTTACAGGCTAATTGACGTCTGTGCATAAAAGGTTTTCCTATTAGATCATGCATTACGACACAAAGCAGATTTTTCCATCCTTATATTAGCAAAAGTGGATTCTGACACACCCTGAATGCGTTTACCCCCTACGCTTTGCATTTTGCGCATGTATCGTCAAAATAGAGCCAAGAGTGAGAAAGAGAAAATAACCAAATATGTCAAATATAACATTTATAAAATATTTTGTTTGCAAAAATACTAATTCACCATGATTCTGAAAAAAGATGCTAAGTGGGAAAAACAAACACACTGCATCATACAAAACGTTAAGCCTTTTGTGTAGTCTCTTAATAGCCATATGTAGTTTTTACGGTAATCAAAATACAAAACTTTACATTTCAAATCACTTTGTCAAACAACAAATATCGAAACTTTGTCAGAAAGAAGTATTTTAGCTTCTCTAGAAAGGAATTCCCAAGCAGCATTGTAGATATAGTAATACTAGAACCTAGTGTTTGCACCATGTCATTGCATGAGCAGAGGGTGCTAATCTTCTTTTTGAATTTGTTTTTAAATGGCAGTCTTTACTTTACCTGGATATACCAAGTGTATCTGTCTGTGGACTGCAAGACAGGCGTAACATGTAGTTGCGTAACTTGTAAGTTAGAGAGGCGCAATTTGCAGTAATGGAGATCCCATTGAACCATGTGAGATGTCACAACGAGATGTTGTTGGCAAGATGGTGGAAATACTTACAAGAGATCATTTTCACCAAAGTTTTCTCCAAATTTTTCCACACCCAATTAATTTGATATATTATTATATTTATTCATTTAGCAATTCGCTTACGACTTTGAGCACATCAAGTATGAAGTATACGGTTGGGTTTAGGGTTGTGGCTGGTATAGGCGTTAATCACTGTGATGGTTGGGTTTAGGTGTGGAGTAGGTGTAGATGTTAATAACTGATGGGTACATCGCCATCATGCCGACAACATAGAGTGACATGTGCGTCTCCATGATTTTAATTCTGCCTCTACTACAAGTTATGCCCCCTTCATGTTATGCCCCTGTCTTGCAGTCCGCAGACAGACCCTACTCGGAAATACGGCACTAATTTAAACTTAATAAAAAATAAAAAATGTTTATTTTTGGGCAAAAAATTGTTTTCAATTGGGCAAATGCATGTTAATTTACTGCATAAATATACATTTTTACCACAATCCCCCCAAACAAAATTCAAAATAATAAAAATATTACAGTGTTTCCTCTAGGATTTTTTCCAGCTGTGGCGGCAGGCCTTTTACACAGATCTACCAACAACCTGTGATGTTATTTCAATGACAAATGTCGTAAGCGCAGTATTACAAGTCGAGATCACATTTATGTAATAGCCTACAGCATGGGGATCCCTTTGCTTGCGCGCCGATTTCCTCTGCTCGTGCACAAAACTTCTTGCACATCCCCTCAAATATTAGCCGCTTCAAGAGCATGCAGATCTTCTTGTGTGCTCACAAATGAACGCTGCTGAAGTGTGATTTAGTGTGTTTAAGTCTCCAGCATTTATAAGATTTGCTAGGAATATTTTTGAATGTCTCTAATAGGCCTACAGAGCAATATTTATGCATCCTGAAGTAAAGTGAAATGGCTATACGTCGTGTTTGCTGGCCTCACGCATCATGCACCTGTCAGTCAGACAGTCAGCACATAACCTTAAGGGTAAACAAATGATGCACAGCACTACTACGGTTACAAAATAGTTTGCACTGTTATAATTCACTTACCTTTCAGTACGTTTTGGTGCGAGTATCACCCGCTATTAAAAAAATAAAATGTTTTGAATGAGAAGCTGTAATGTAGTCGTGGCGGGATGAATTTTGGCATGGCGTCCCGCCATGGAAGAATGAATGTAGCGGAAACCATGTATTATATAAATATGATTGCTAAATCATTTTAGCTAAATATAATAAGCTAAAAACTGTGGGTACTTTAGTTGTGCATCCCTTTTTGACTGGCTAAGCCCACAAATTTGATTCCCAAATAAGGGACACCAGAGGGTTAAAGCTGTACTAGAGACCACACTATCTAGTGAGGATGTTGATTTATTTCAGCTTATCCAAGCAAATGGACATTTTTCTTTGAAATTAAAGTTATGTTTTAAAGCACAAATAATAAAGCAAATTTGAAATTCTGTGTTGTTTTTTCTACATTAAATGTTGAACAAAATCTAATAATATACTTAAAATGATTAACCTAAATTCTGCAACCTGTTAATCATTACCGCAACCAATGTTCCTTAAGAGATATTTTGCTTTTCAATGCATGTGCATAATCTACAAATTATGTCCTTTTAGGTTAGCCACATTATTTTGAAAACACATCAGGTTTTATTAAAATACATTAAAAAAAAAGTGTTGTCAGTTGTGTACGGTGTTTCGGTAATGAGAAAAACAATAAAAATAAAAAACCCTGTTAATTTAAAAATAAATGTTGTTTTAGAATCTAAAATAATTTCACATCACTGTTAATGATCCCTTTTTAAAAAATGTCAAAATGAATTAGCTTTTTTGTAATAATCATTTTAGCAGACTGTTGCGGTAATGAGATTTTTTTATTACTTGTTTTGGAAATCATGCTCAAAAAGGTACTAAATGATGTGTATATATTTTTAAATTAATGTTGACAAATGCTCCAGACTTTGTTTAAATTATCTGCAAAACCAAAATTTAATTTAAACATTTTTTTTAAATTCATGTTTGAAAATTTTTAAACTACATTTTCGTGAGAATCACCCAGCCAATAATGTGCTTTGGTTAAGTCATATTATGTGCAGTGTTTTTCTGTGGTGTGATTTCTGACAGACTGGCATTTATTGTGAGTAGTTGCTAAATGCAAATGAAAATTTCAATAAAAATAAAGGATCAACTCATGTCAGATCCCCCAAAAAATCTGAGAATTCCTCTCCAGTAAGTTATGATGACATATTTACAACTCAAAAAGGTATTTATCAAGTTATTAAGTAATTAAATCAATTAAATCAAAACAAACAACATTTCAAAGAACAATTTTTTAATTATAAGGAAAGTTCATTAAAAAAAATTTCCCCAATTTTTACAGCACTTTAATTTAAAAAAAGAAAGAATTTCTTAATTTCTAAGAAAAGAAAAACATTCAAATATTTTATTTATAGATCTATTATAAAGCGTGGAGTAGAGGGTTAATAGCTAAACGCTGAAAATGGTATTGTTTAAAAGACTCCTGTTTATGTAATGTAATTTATTACAGTTTTTTGAAGTTACTTAGTCTAGGCAAATGTTTAAGACCACATGCTATGCACAACCATCTTAAATGAATTATATATTAACATTACCCAATAGCCAAACTGCATGTTGTATTATCCAGCATGCACAGGATGTTAGATTGACATCGTACCCCAATGTCGTGGGAACGTTGCATTTTGTTTGGAAATTAAAATCAGGTTGATGTCAGGACTCAACGTCAGGGCGACGTTAATGTCCAACGTCAACCTAAAATCAACCAAATATCAACGTCTAATGATGTTACAGTTTGACATTGTATGGACGTTGCCACTATGGCATCTATCAGATGTTGGATTTTGGTTGTCATACCTGATGAATAAATGTCAGTATTTGACGTCAATATGTCGTTGGTTTAAGATGTTGACTCGACATTGGATTTTGGTCATTTTCCAACACAACCTAAAATCAACCAAATATCAACGTCAAAATAATGTTGTCAGACGCTGGCTAGACATTGAATTTAGGTAACCTGACGCCACAACCTAATTCTAACCTAATATTAACGTCTTATGTTGTGTGCCTGCTGGGTAAACATAATCAATTCTAACATAAGACATTAGAAGTGTCACATGCTATATATATATAAGGTAAAATTCACCCAAAAATGTTTTTAAAAAAATGCGAAATCACATGTGAGCTGATGCATTGTTTGTTTACTACCGAGAAGACACAATCATGAAACAAGAAAGGGTCCAGGGGCACAAATGATGTCTACTTTAGTGAACAGAACTTGCATAGGCTGTGAATAACAGCTAATAAAGTTGTAAATAACGTTCAGTTTGTTGCACAGAGCGATCATTTGGGAGCCGCGCGGGAAGTATGATTTGCAAGTATGTTTTTTTCTCAGACCGACAGCTGTCATGACATGAGTGCACTCAGCAGTGAAAGTGAAACCAAAAGCGTGCACATCATTTAAATGATAATATCGCAGTTATGATCATTGAGTTATGATAACGACAAGCATGTTTTTTCCTTTATATAGCCTGTATAATGTTAAATATATTGCAAGAGGGAATCTGATAATGACAAATGTCTCATTTTACCAGTGAAAAATAAATGGCCTATTAATGTTGTCAATGACTGATTGCAAGCATATGTCTCAAACATAAATATTCAACTTCAGAATTATGAAGAGTTGTATTCTGATGCCATCCCTTTACTGCGCATTAACGACCAGGACTTATATAAAGCTTATTCAAATCCACCACTCCAAGTCTATACAAAATGTAGCCTTTTAACCAACAGTGGAGCTACACATAGGCCCAATATTATTGTTGTTTTACCATATGTTTGATAATAACAATAATAATAGCCTACTCTTATTAACCTTTATTTTACATCTACATAATCTTGAGAAAGTCATGATCTTGATTTTAAGCAAAACAAAATTGTGATTCTTATTTTACCCAGAATTGTGCAGCCCTAGACATAAGTACACCAGTAAACACTATAAAACAGACAAAATGGGGATGTCCAACAAGTGACCACTGACGTTAAGAACGGTATAAAGCAGATGAAATCAAGATATCTTCTGAGTGATGTTAGCAAACATTAAAAATAGATACCTTTAGACGAGGTTTGCAACGTTCAGAGAATGTCTCATGTTTGCTTGACTGTCTCTTGTCAGTGCAACGAGTTCCAACGTAGGTCTGTCCAGGCCTGGTTCACGAGTTGAAAAGAGCACCATCGAAGGTCTCTGCATCCCAAACTCACAGCAGATGTTGAGAGCTGCAAACACACAAAGGAAATCAAAGCACTGAACAGGAGCGAAGAAGCTATCAGAAGCTAGTAAGAGAGACACGTCTTCCGGAGTGAGGTCAAGGTTTTTGAGCATGTGGACTCTTTAAACACAGTGATTAGTGAAGGTTGTCAATCAAAGATGTGGCAGTGCGTGAGTGTAATACACATATGCAAGTACATTCATGTTCTTTTTCTTTGGCTGTTTCCCCAAAGCCTTTCTTTATCAAGCATAATGCAATATCTTTTTGTCGAAGCTGAGGGCCAAAAGCACCTCTGAACTCAAGCTGCTGTGTTCTTGGATCTGGCTTGATATTCTTTAACCTTGTCTTGGGGAAAAACCCAACTGGCAATTTCCTGTCTATAAATCATGTCAGGTTTCTGTCATGCTCAGCAATAGATGGATTTTATAAATTAAAAGCTTTTCCCAGAAAAAATATCAAAGGATGTGTGTTTAAAATAGTTTAAACATGATTTATGGTACATGATTACATGCATACATGATTTATGATACATAATGCAATTCACAGCGCAGATTATTTGCTTATCTTTTTTTATTTTTATTAATATACATTTGTTTTAAATTGTTATTGTATGTTGTCATTTTTTTGCCGTTTTTTTTTAAATACAATACAAATTATTAAGGACTTTTAGATGAAAGTTTTAGATGAAAGAATTCTGGGTTTTCCTACTTTGGGATCTAAAAGGGGCCAATGTATCCAGGGGCTGTATGTATAAAGCTGCTCAGTGTAGAATTTTACTCTTAAGTGTGTCAAAATTGTAAGAATGACTTCACTTTACTTTTATTTCTAGACTTAAGATTAAGTGTGATTTATAAAGGTTCTTAAGTGTTAAGACTTGGTCTTAGCTCCTGAATTTTTAGGAGTGTTTGGGATGCATCTTAACCTAGTTAGGAGTAACAAGATGGCAGCAGAGTGGAGGAGACCACGCATATTTCAGGAACAAAAAATGTGTTGCAATTAAATAATGGCAGGGGTTTGCTAAAACTTGATCGTGAAGGTTTTCTTTTTGTAACTAATCTAGTCAGAAATGCAATAACTTCTCACACTCTACGAAACAATGCCTTAACTGCAGAAATGAAGGTAATAATGACACTGCGTTTTTTTGGTAACTGGAAAGATGCAACAGTGCATCAGCAATGACTTAGGCCCATCACAATCCACAGTCAGCAGAGTCATAAACAGCACTACAGCAGCAGCACTAACAACACCAAACATAATAAGGCAGTTCATTGACTTTCCAAGTGACCTCCAAACTATAGAGCAAGAGCAAGCAGCTTTTATGAGGATTGTGGCCTTCCCTGGAACCTTCTCTTTCCTTGTTGGAGCCATTGATGGCACTCAAGTTCGCATAATTGCTCCGACTGTAAATGAGGAGGCATATGTCAGTAAAAAAGCATTTCACAGCATCAATGTTCAGGTTGTGTTTGATGCCAATTACAAGATTCTGGATTTTGTGTTAAAATGGCCAGGGATAACACATGTTGCTCAGGTTTTTTCAGAGAGCGGCCTCACTGGGTTCTTTGAACAAAATTATGTATACAGTTGAAGTCAGAATTATTAGCCCCCCTAAATTTTTAGACCGCTTGCTTATTTTTCCCCAATTTCTGTTTAAGGGAGAGAAGATTTTTTCAACACATTTCTAAACATAATAATTTTAATAACTCATTTCTAATAACTGATTTATTTTGTCTTTAAAAGACACTTTTTAAGACACTTCTATACAGCTTAAAGTGACGTTTAAAGGCTTAACTAGGTTAATAAAGTTAACTGGGCAGGTTAGGGGAATTAGGCAAGTTATTGTATAACAGTGGTTTGTTCTGTAGATTTATCAAAAAAATATATAGCTTAAAGGGGCTTATAATTTTGTCCCTAAAATGATACATAAAAAATTCAAAACTGCTTTTATTCTAGCCGAAATAAAAAAAATAAGACTTTCTCCAGAAGAAAAACTATTATCAGACATTCTGTGAAAATTTCCTTGCTCTGTTAAATATTTTTTGGAAAATATTTTAAAAAGAAGAAAAATCGAAGGGGGCTAATAATTCTGACTTCAATTGTATATATATATATATATATATATATATATATATATATATATATATATATATATATATATATTCATTCATTCATTTTCTTTTCAGCTTATTCCCTTTAATAATCTGGAGTTGTCACAGCAGTATGAACCGCCAACTTATGCTGCATATGTTTTATGCAGCAGATGCCCTTCCACTTACTCAACACTGGGAAACACCCACACACTTCTGCATTCACACGTACACTCGGCCGATTTAGCTTATGCAATTAAACTATACCACATGTCTTTGGACTGTGGGGGAAACCGGAGCACTTGCCAACCCTTGCCAACATGGGGAGAACATGCAAACTCCACATACAAATGCCAACTGAACCAGAGACCTTCTTGCTGTGAGGTAATTGTGCTACCCACTGCGCCACCATGACACCCGATGTCATGTAAACATTACTGTAAAAAGTCATTTGACAAGTTTTACACCATATTTTATAAATAAATTATACAGTCTTTTTTCCCTAATATCCCATTTTTGCTTCCTCTCAGTGTGCCATGACAAATTGATTTGACATTTGTCTTCAGGCATCATTTTAGAAAGAACTATGGCTTTATGGATTTGGCCTGAATTCGTCTTTTGTCTTAACACACTAGTAATGTATTCAGTCTTAGAAACACAATTATCATATTTTCATTGATGGAGCCATGTGTTTTCCATCAGATCTCCTCATTGTGCCAGCACAGTCTGGCGCAGAGAAAGTCCTCACACTGTGACTAACACTCGTTCTGTCTGCAGGAATCTGTATTAGATATTAATAGGCAGTGCTGTGAAGTTGAACCTTAGGTGTGAGCTTTTTTTTAAAGTTCTAACATGCTCTAAACTGCTCCCTTTCTCATATAATCCCATACAAATTAATGTGGGAGTGTCACAAAAATGGCAACAAAATTAACAAAAATTAAGAAATAATTCAAGAAAAGTATACCAGTTGCAAGAGCAACAAATATTAACTTGATATCTTGATCATTTGGACAAGTGGCAGACGGTAGATTTTTCCAATGATTCATCTGTGGAACTGCATCTCAATCATCACAAATACTGCAGAAGACCTATTGGAGCCGACATGGACCCAAGATTCACTAGAAATCAATCAAGTTTGGAGAAGATAAAATCATAGTTTGGAATTACATTCAGTATGGGCGCATGCGAGAGATCTGCAAAGTGGATGGCAGCATCAACAACCTGAGGTATCAAGACATTTGTGCTGCCCATTAAATTACAAACCACAGGAGAGGGCAAATTCTTCAGCAAGAGGCATTGAAGATAAATCCAAAGGATCTAGATGAACTCTGGGAGTCCTGCAAGAAAACTTTCGTTGCCATTCCAGATGACTTTATTAATAAGTTATTAGAGTTATTGTAGAGATGTATGGATGCAGTCCTCCAAGCTCATGGGGATCATACACAAAATAATTATTTTCCACTGCACCATGACATTAAATTTTATACTGTACATTATTTCTGTTAAGTTCTGTTAAGCAAAGTCAGACCTAACTGTTGTAAATAATTTTCCTAAAACTTACCTTACCTAAGAATTTTGTCAGGTAGTGTTTTGTATATACTGTATGTATGTATGTATGTATGTATATATATATATATATATATATATATATATATATATATATATATATATATATATTTGCAATCAGAATTTTTAAACCCCCTGAAATATTAGCCCCCCTGTTTTACAGCTTAAAGTGACATTTAAAGGCTTAACTACATGTATGTTAATTAGGTTAAATAGGCAGGTTAAGGTAATTAGGCAAGTTATTGTATAACGATGGTTTGTTCTGTAGACAAGCTGAAAAAATATAGCTTAAAGGAGTTAATAATTTTGTCCTTAAAATGGCTTTTAAAAATTTTAAAACTGTTTTTATTGTAGCCGAAATAAAACAAAAAAGAATTTCTCCAGGAGAAAAAATATTATCAGACATACTGTGAAAATTTCCTTGCTCTGCTAAACATTGGGAAACATTTGGGAAATACTTAAAAAAGAAAAAAAAACATTCAAAGGGGTTTAATAATTCTGATTGCAACTGTGTGGGTGTGTGTGTGTAAGTATATATATATATATATATATATATATATATATATATATATATACACATACATACATACACACACACAACACAATATAATATAATATAATATAATATAATATAATATAATATAATATAATATAATATAATATAATATAATATAATATAATATATCCACACTGAATCAAAGCACCTTAAAGTCAAGTTTGCTTACACTTAAATGCCTCTGCTATTTCTCAGTTTCAAGTGCAGCTCTGATCTTTCTGAATGGGAAACATCAATCAATCAATTCGCATTAATGGTAGGTCTGAAGCTTGAGTAGCATCCCAACACACTGACTGCAGTTCACACAACTATACACACAGTTCTGGTTTTAAATAAATCAGGTAGTGTGTTCACATTACAAATTCCAAAATGTGTGAAATGACAAACATCTTTAAAGGAAGTCTTGTATGGCGTAATAAAACTTAAATGTAATCTCTTACTGAAATATTTAGTAGAATATACATAAAATGTTTACATTATTTAAAACAAAATCCTCGTCCTTTTATACATTTTGGACTAAATGGCACACGATTGTTTAGTAGGCGTGGGTTACATTTTGCATCGTTGATGCCAAATGATTGCATTCGGTGATCTATTGCTGTTACATATTGATATTTGTACTGCAACACAAATCAAAAAATTTAAATACAGACAACATGATTGTATTATTACGTTTGAGGGCAACATGAGAAGTGATGCCAGTCTTCCCAAAGAAGAGAAAAAGAGAATGCAATATCCCAGCTGGCAACTTGAAGTGAAAACAAATATTGGCGTTAAAAAAAAAAAAAAAAAAAGTCAAAA